AGAGAGAAATTTCTCATGCATGGAATGGCAATCAATTTCAATGTGTTTGGGGCGTTCATGAAACACAGGATTGCAAGTGATGTGTAGAGTAGCCTCATTGTCATAAAAGAGCAAGATAAGCTACGGATGTGGAGCTGCGAGGTCATGTAAGAGAGACTTGAGCCAAACAAGTTCACATGTGGTTATAGCCATTGCATGGTACTCAACTTCAGCAAAGGAGTGAGAAACAACTGATTGCTTCTTTGCACGCCAAGAGATGGGACTAGTGCCAAGTGTGATGAAAAACTAGTAGTAGAGCAATGAGTGGTAGGACAACTCGCCCAATTAGAATCTGAGTATGTAGTAAGTCAAAGATCACATTGTGCAGAATAAAAAAGACCATGTTATGGAGTGCGCTTTAGGTACCATAGAACATAGAGAGCAGCTCGATAATGAGGGTCCCGAGGACGTTGCATGAATTGACTCAACATGTTAACGAAGAAGGAGATGGACGAGTGATAGTGAGGTATAGAAGGCGGACCACCAACCGATGATATATTCCTGGATCAAAAAGTAAGTTACCATCATCAGGGTTGAGTTTCAAATTTTGGTCTATGGAAAAAGAAGTTGGCCGTGATCCCAGATTACCATAGTCAGTAAGAATGTCCAATGCATATTTTCTCCGATTAATAAAAATTCTAGATGGAGATCGAGCAACTTCAATACCAAGAAAATATTTCATGGTACTCAAATCCTTTATTTTAAAATAGACATCAAGAGATTTTTTGAGAACAGTGATGGCAGAAAGATCATTTTCTACAACCAAAATATCGTCAACATAAACTAAAACCACAGAAGAGATGAGCCAATAGTTCGAGTGAAAAGTGAGTAATCAGATACAGACTGAGTAAAACCATCAGATATCAGTACAAAGGAAAGCTTCGAGTACCAATTTCGAGATGCCTGCTTAAGACAATAGAGAGACTTAAGAAACGATAGACACAAGTCTCCCCTTATTGACCATACCCAAGGGGAGCGTCATATAGACCTGCTCTTCCAAATTACTATGAAGGAATGCATTATTAATGTCAAGTTGATGAAGATGCCAATTACAAGCTGTGCAATGGCTAAGACACAACAAACAGTAACAAGTTTGGCCACGAGTGCAAAAGTGTCATGGTAGTCAAGACCTCGACCATGAATTTGACCTCTTCCTTGAGATCATCCTTTCTCTTTCTTTTGACCTCCCAAGGAGACATTCGTTTGGAGAACTTGAGCCACCGGTTCTCCTTTCTTCTTCAATCTTTCTTCATATACTTGCAAGGACCCTATGAGTTGATCAAGGGTCATGGTATCCAAGTTATTAGACTCTTCAATGACAATACTAACAAACTCAAGTTTTGAGTCAAGCGATCTATGAATTTTCTCGATGACACGGCTTTCTTCAATATTCTCCCCGTACTGCTTCATATAATTGACAATGGAGGACACTCTAGTGAAATAGTCAAAGGCAGATTCAGACTCTTTCATGTGCAGAGATTCAAACTCTCCACAAAGGATTTGAAGACACACCTTCTTCACTTTTTCAATTCCCTTGAAATTGTTCTCGAAAATCTCCCAAGCTTCCTTAACTTTTGTTGAGGACACAACTTTCTCGAACATGGCTTCATCTAAGCCCATGTGAAAATAGAGAGAGCGTGTTGATCTAACTTGCGGTACCTTTGCAAGGCATTCCTTTGAGCTTGACTTAAAGCTCCTTCATTCTTCGGTTCATCATAGCCTTTCTCTACAACTTCTCATGCCTCTTGTGAGCTAAGCAACGCCTTCATGCGTATACTCCAATGTCCATAATTTTCCTTTGTTAGTTTGGGTACAACAAAAGGAAATGAATTATTCATCTTTGAAATGGCTCTGATACCACTTTGTTGGAAATCAAATATTATGGGATGAAAGGCTAGAGAGAAAAATTCAGAGAATTTTCAAAAATATTTGTATTTTATGGCTTGGCTCTATAAAATGTCTCAAACACAAGACCTTTTATAAGTACAAAGGATCCTAAATACATTGTATGAACTTAATAGACTAATTAATGACTTTTCCTACATACTATGAATAATAGGATGCAAAGAATCATTTGGATACATGATTTAAATAAATGCATGAATATTAAATAAACTAATTCATGTATCAAATTTAATTTTTTTCATCATTCATGAATTAAATTTAATTTCCAACAAATTTTGCCATTCGACCTTTAATAGTGACCTAAAAATCAAATTGTATCGTGCAAGTTAATGTTGGATCATTAGACCCAACTACATGCATCAACTGAACGCATGACATTAAGAGGGAATTCCAATTCATATATGTTCGAGAGTAATAATTTGGAATGTTAGATGGGAATCATATTTGACGGTCTGATTTGTAATAGAGTTAAGAATACATACTACACCTTTGTAGCGATTTCACTAAAAAAATATGTGTAAAAAAGAGTTGTTTAACTTACAAAGATATAACATACCTTTGACATATATGCTATACAGCTGTTAAGCAATTTGTTCATGACAACCTTCAACATCTCCAATTAGCATTTTTAGAAGGCTGAATATACATTTGCAGAAAAAAAATAAAAAATAAAAATAATGCAATTAATGTTTACTATACTTACTGCTAACTTACATTTCTCTTCGACAATGACATTTAAACCTATTGCTCTATTAGAAATTAAGTACATACACATTTCTCCTAAATGCATGAATATTAAATAAACTAATTCATGTATCAAATTTAATTTTTTTCATCATTCATGAATCAAGTTTAATTTCCAACAGATTTTGCCATTCGACCTTTAATAGTGACCTAAAAATCAAATTGTATCGTGCAAGTTAATGTCGGATCATTAGACCCGACTACATGCATCAACTGAACGCATGACATTAAGAGGGAATTCCAATTCATATATGTTCGAGAGTAATAATTTGGAATGTTAGATGGGAATCATATTTGACGGTCTGATTTGTAAAAGAGTTAAGAATAAATATTACACCTTTGTAGCGATTTCACTAAAAAATATGTGTTAAAAAGAGTTGTTTAACTTATAAAGATATAACATACCTTTGACATATATGCTATACGGCTGTCAAGCAATTTGTTCATGACAACCTTCAACATCTCCAATTAGCATTTTTAGAACGCTGAATATACATTTGCAGAAAAAAAATAAAAATAAAAATAAAAATAATGCAATTAATGTTTACTATACTTACTGCTAACTTACATTTCTCTTCGACAATGACATTTAAACCTATTGCTATATTAGAAATTAAGTACATACACATTTCTCCATAAAATTGCACCAAGATGCATAGATAAGATAAGGTGCTTTGGCACAAGTTGTATCTAGAAGCGCGTTCAATGACGGAGCACATAAAGAATCTTTAGACACAGCAACATTAGAAGACAATGGATCTGACCTGCTTGTAATCTTGCTCAATTTCTTCATCATCATTTTCAGTCGATAATTTAATTAAATCCTACTTATTAAAGGTAGAAGAGGAACATTGTTCTGTCAAATTATATTATCCACGACATTGCAGTATCTTAAAATAGAACTTCATCAATAAATCTAAAATTAATGTCAAATACAACTTTTAGACCTTATATTAAGGAAAGATTGTATTGAATGATGCTATCAATATTACATTTCACCTAAAAACTTCCTAGTGGTGTCAATAAGCCGAGCCGAAACTCGAGGCTCGGGCTCGACTTGGATAAAATGATCCGAGCATTTTTGCGAGCTTAAGCCAAGCAAAACCTGGCTTGATTTTTTTTTCCCTAATACATAAGGCAGCAAGGCAGTAGCCTGCTACCTTTGATCTGTCTTTTTTTTTTTTTTTAGGCCCAAGCTGACGAGCTACAAAAGCACCCCAAAATGGGGATATCGGGCCTTGAGCCGGGCCAAAGCTCGAACTCATATTATACCACCGATTTTAAGTCAAGTTTTGTGGTTAAAGTACCATTGGTAGACACTTTAGTATAATCTGAATTTGTTGATTGTGTTAGAAATTACTTAGGATTGACTCTTTAGGAGAATAGTTTAGTTTCCAGCATTAATCAGTTCAGAAGCCACATAATTTGTCCATATATACTTCGTAGTATTTCGAAATCTGCATAATGAAAACTGATCAAAGGATCTTAGAAAGAGGGATTCATAGATCATTAGTAGGTAAAGAAATCATTTATTATGAAGTAGAATTCACACAGGTACAAGTATTTGTAGTGAACGGTTCGAAATTATTGTGTAATATATTAGCGCCATATATATATTACTGATTGTGCAAAGCCCATTCTTGATATTCTAAATCCCTGCCGCAAGAGAATCAGGGAGGTCCACCAGGAAACAAACCACCACCTGGGCCAAATCCGCCAGGAGGAAACAAGCCACCACGCGGGCCAAATCCGCCAGGAGGGAACAAACCACCACCCGGGCTGCCAGGACCGCCACCTGGGCCAAATCCACCAGGAGGGAACAAACCACCACCCGGGCCAAATCCACCAGGAGGGAATAAACCACCATTGTGGCCAAAACCATGACCAAGCCATCCTCCCTTCCCGAACAGAAATTTCTCTTCATCATCCAAATTTCTGGCAAGAACAGTACCCGCTAAAACAACATAAAGACAGAGAAAAAACAACCCACAAACTCTCATATTAGCAACCTTAGTTTTATTACGGCTGTCTTAGGAATATATGTTGAGATGCATTAAGATTATCATGCAAGTGGGATTATATACTAGTTTTGTTGCCCAACAACTACCTTTCAACACACTGACATTTATCTTTGTTTGTTGTAGCGAAAAATTATATTTAAGTAGATTTTGATAAAAATTGATGAAATATATTTTTGAAAAGTTGATAAAAATTCTGTGTCATAAGAAATGTGTTGTTAAAATTAATTGTTGATATTAAAGTTGAAGTTTAATCAACTATTTGAGGTACACCAAACAGGGAAAGAATGTCTCTAAGTCCTCTTTTCTTTTCTTTTTTTTCTTTTTTTTTTTTTTTTCGGTGAGGCAAAGAAGAACTCCTAATGCATTAGGCAGAAATTCTTTCACCAGCCTACCAAAAAAAAAAAACTGATGATTAACAGACCATTAGTTGATGAAGGATGATCAGACAGTCAAATTAATCTAATTAAATAGGCTGAATTATGTTTCAAATTAATAATTCGCTGAACACTTATCTAAGAGATTGAGCCCACATAGATTGACGGTCAAAAATATGCAAAGCATTAATCTTAAAAGTCTAAAAGCTTATATTCTCTTTAATTTTTTTTTTTTCCAATTTGTAAATACATTGTATATAATACAACCTATGCAATGCTCAACCAATTCAAGTGATACATTTCCTTGTTTCTCTAGCAAATTCACCGTGCTATCAAAAATTAATGTACAAACTCAACCAATCGAAAATATTTGTACTGAGTTGTGCAAAATGAAAAACTCAGACCCCAACTGAAAGCTAAAATAGCTTGTGAACTGGTTAGAATATATTTAAGGTCTTAAGGTATCACAAGTTGCAATATCGAAGACACTCAAATATCCTTCATCTACAAGCTGTAAGCAAATTGTTCATGACAACTGTACACATCACCAATTAGCATATTTGACATCATCAAATTTTTTTCATTTGCAGTAAAAGGAACCAAGAATGCAATTATTGTTTAGAATACTTTAGGGGTTGAATTGCTTAACTACAACATTTAAACCTGTTACGGAATAAATTCCAAATAAGGATGAAAATATAAACTAATTTATAAGGACTTGAACTCCTTGAAATAAGGTTGACATTTTAAGATGAAACTCTAAGTTTCAATATAGTGTCATAGCATATTAAACTGTAACGAGCAATTTGACTCAATATAGTTCCGTAGTAGGTTTTTCAGAAAACTCTAATTATTTTGGTGTGGATGGTAGGTAATACTAAAAAACATAAATTTCACGTCGAATGAAGATGAAAACATAGACCAACTTATGAAGAATTGTAATGCTCCTCTTAATAAGGATAACATTTTAAGATGGAATCTTAAGTATCAGTAAAACCTATTACTAACTTCTGGGTACATTTACATTTCTCTTCTTAATTGCCCCAAACGCATAGATACAATAAGGTGCTTTGGCATTTGGTACATCTTCTACAACAGTGGAGCTCATAAAGGATCTTTAGGCACAACACCAATGGCAGCACTAGAAGACAGTAGAACTATCTCACAATCTTGCTCAATTTCTTCATCATCACTCTAAAGTAAATAAATTAAAGCTGGGTATTACTTGTCAGAAGAGAAACATTCTCGTCTCTAATGTGAAGATGTTTAGAATATACGACATTGCTGTATCTTACTATAGAACTGTATCAATAATAGTTCTAACTGTATATCAACTACAACTTTTAGATCTTATATTAAAGAAAAGTTATATAGAATGGAGAAATCAATATTATATTTCACCTAAAAACTTCTCTCCCAATGCAAAACAAGGCAGACATGGATTTTGCAAAGGAATGCATAGCTTTTTTATTACTAAAATATAAATACAATGCAGCAGCATTGACTTAGAATCACTTAAAAAAAGTTAAAAGTTTAATCTTTTCAAAATAGGCATATTTTCAATTTATATTCCCCACAAAAGGATGCATTTTAAAAGGAAAAACTATTTATTCAGAAAGAGGATCCAATAATTCTTCGTCCTACCTTCACACTCAGAAACTCACAAATTGAACCCTCATCATCAATATTTCATATGTCAATAATTATTTGAGGAAGCTGATAAGATACTGATAAATGGGAATCAAAGCATTACCTAAACGGTAGCTTTTGTAAGCGAAAGCATAGAGCGACAAATTCTGCCATGAGTCGAGCAGTTGCCTGTGATCCCTTCACTTCTTTATTGACAAGATCATCCATGTCAAATCAAAAAAAGAATTATAAAGTGCAGAACATACCTTAAGTCACTGGGAACATTTCTATTGGATATGGGCTAGTGCTTCACTATTAATTAAACTCCAGCCAATGTTGATGGGCTGGACGTTTCGTTTGGGCCTCATAGTAAAACCGGGTCATTTGAATGACCCAAGTTAAAAACGTGTTATTGGTTAACACGACTATGACCTTTTGTTTTCTGATTGATCTTGGACCATTCATCTACCATATTCCCAGCCGTTGGATCAATGTGATTTGTGATGCGATATAAATAACAGCCTCTCTCTCTCACTTCTGGACGATTGAGTGTTTTCTGGAAGTATCTAGGGTTCTTCCGGTTTCTTGAGGATTTTCTTTGATCTATTTTAATGTGTGTTATTTTCTCTGAAAATCTCTAAGTGAAGATTATGAATATTGTATTTGTAAGCAATTATAGAGAGAGCAGATTGTGAGTTCATTACGTTGTACTTTGAAAAGAGAGGCGAGAGAAAATATTGAAGGAACTTGAGTTTCCTTCATACATCTATACTTTTCTTGAGAAATTTCTTAGTGGAATCGAGCAATATCTACTTATAGATGCTCAACGGGTGAGTAGGCTTTAAGCTGAATATCCGGGCCTTCATGGCGAAAAATCTCTTGTGTTCGTCTTCTTTTTCAGTTTTCTGTACTTTAAATCGTTGATATTTGATTCTGAGACCAACAAGTGGTATCAGAGCGATGGAAAATTGTTCGATTAAGTTTTTCGCTTTTTTCGAAAACTATTCTTGCTAAAACCCTAAGAACTTTCGGGTTTACAAAAATTCTTTTGTGGAATAACTGTTTGATTCAATTTTTTATTGAATCCTTAAACACCAAAAGTTTTCTCTGAAATTTTTTTTTGATGTAAATATCTGGATCTGAAAATTTTTCGAAGTAAAATTCCCTAACTTCTCTGGATCTGGAAAACTTGTTGTTCTTTGAGTCTACGAACTGTTGTGACTCGTAACTCGTCACTGAGTTGGTGTGATAACTTGACTCGTTACTGAGTGCTGGTGAGTCGAGTTGACTCATTCCGAGTCTGTTGGAGCTGAGTGTTGAGTTCTGCTGAGTCGCTGTGACTCGTGGCCTATTTGATCACATTCCCAAAATTCTTCAGCCGTTTTCTGAATCTCCAAGTGTAATCTCTTACTGAAACCATACTGGTGTTTAGTTCTGGTATAATCTTTTCACACTTATAACTTATGCTTAATAAGGTACACTATTTCCTGTGAAAGTTTTTGACGTGGTTATTAAGGTAATTGGCCTACCACAACTTACCTTTGTCCAAGATCTCCTGCGAGGATTTGGGAATCTGAGGGAGTTGTGGATTCACAGGTCATCAGCCCTTAAACCTGTTAAACTGGACATTTGATATTTTTGGTATTTCTGCTTTCAGTGATTACTGTGTTGCTATATATATACATTACTCTTGAATCCTTTTGTAACTGGATCTTGTAATGTGTATGTTTTTATTATAGGATAGTAGCTCTTGATATGTAATACTTTTGTCCCATCTTGAAAACTGCTCAATCTGCTGCTTGGTTATATCAATTCAATCTATTATACTCAGTGTATTGCATAATTCCTTGTTTTGTGAATCTATCTGTGAATCATGTCAACTACACATAAGTTTGTAGTAGAAGTTTGGAGGGGGACTGGGGATTTTAATCTTTGGCATCAAAAGATGAGGGCTCTGCTATTATAGCAGAGGTGTGCAGGTGCCTTAACTGTGACATGGGGTACTGAAATTAGTGCTTATAGGAGACAAGAACTAGATGAAATTGCTTGGAGCACAATTTTCTTGCATTTGTCTGATAATGTGATTAGAACAGTAGGAGAAACTACAACCACTGAAGCACTATGGACCAAATTAGAATCCCTATACTTAACTAAGACAATGCCAAATAAGTGCTGCCTTTTAAGACAATTTTATAATTTCAGATTTGACACCTCTTCCACCTTAGAAGAAAATATTGATAAAAATTCACAAAATTGATTCAAGACCTAAGCAACTGTGATGAAAAGTTATCAGATGACCAACAAGTTGTTGCCTTGTTAAATGCTTTGGGTGATAAATATAGGGAAATTAGAAATGCCCTAGAATATGGGAGGGATGAACTCACTGTTGACATCATTGTCTCAGCCTTAAGAAATAGAGAGCTTGAATTGACAACTAAGACAAAACATTCTAAATTTGGGGAAGGTCTAATTATTAAAGAAAAACTCAACCCTACTAAAAAGAAAAGTCAGTGCAACTTCAATTGCCAAAAGGGGGGGAGACCCCAACTTCCTAAATTTAGATATCAAAATAAGAGGCAATCAAAAACTAAAACTCAAACCAGGAAGTGCTACTACTGTGGCAAAATTGGTCACCTCATAAAAGACTGTTTTAAAAAGATGTCTAATATGAAAGGTAATCCAAACCTTGATGGTTCTGCAGCTATTGTCTGCAACAATGATTCTGAAGTACAAGGAGTTGTCCTTGTGACTTCAACAAATAGAAACCCGAAGGAGTGGGTTCTTGATTCAAGATGCTCTTTCCATATGTGTCCTGTGAAGGAGTGGTTTACTGAATTTAATGAACTCAATGGTGGTCAAGTCCAAATGCGTAATGACATGACCTGTAAAATTGAGGGAATTGGTAGAGTTAGTCTCTTATTGAAAATAGCCATGTTCTTGAGCTTCCTTTGACCAGATATGTCCTTGAACTAAAAAGAAATCTTATCGCTTTAGGAGAATTGAATAATAAATATGAAATCAAGATCCATAAAGGATTCA